TAAAAAAAAAAAACGTACAGAGGTTACAGTGTTAATTTATCTTTTTATCGAACTTAGGCCTAACATAAGTTTAAGTTTTATAAAGTAAGGCCTATAAACAAGTAGGTTTACACATTTCGTTGTCTACGATTACAATTCGTTTGTATTGTGCTAGAAATGTTATGTTTAAAGAAGTACTATTACGATAAAGATACTAATTTGGCGAAAATCATATAACTATACTTATTATCTTCGGTCACTTTAGATTACTAAATAACATAATAAAAATATTGATAAATACATTATATTTATCAATATTTGTTTTTACTATTTATTGTACAACTCCGTCATTCCTTTGCTTTGTTCTTTATTCTGATTAATTATATTTATGAAAATTAGTTTTAGTTGTAATTATCTGTACTGTCCATCTGTTTGAGTATTTTATCTCAGATGTCAAAATGTTCTAAAGTTATAGCGTCGGAGCCCTTTCATTGGACCGAAGATTTAATTGGGGAAGAAAATTAAACTTAGCTTTGCTTATGTTATGTCAAGTTAATCAAAGAATATGTTACCTATGAAAGTGCTTTAAACAAACCATTAGCGTTTACGTGTTCTGTCAGTAAGCTACAATTTCATTATTGTTACTCTTTTCAACAGCATATATTCTAAGGGTTATTTGTACATTGTTACCTTAGTATATGGATTTCAAACGAGTTTAATATTTTTATGCTGGTCGAACCTGGTGAGATACTTTTGGAATTACGTCCGAAAATGTCGCTAATAATGTGGAAAATGCATTCTGACGTTCATAATTGAGAGTGCAAGAACAGTATGTTAAATAAATAATGTTCACCAGTGGACTAATTTTAGTTATGATCTATGTAGCTTGTTAGATTTTATGAGAAGTTGGTATTAATTTAAGAGAATTCGAAGGACGAGGTTTTAACCACTTAACACGTAATGGACGGTTTTTAGTGTAGTTAAAGTACTTGCTTCTTTTAAAAAACTTTCATGAAATGCTATAGAATTATCCACATCACTACCAAAATCTTTTGAAAAGCGAAGAGCTAGCTAATGAGACGTAACCAACCCCGAATTTTAAGATTATAAACCCTCTAGCTAACTGATGAACCAGTGGAAATCTCATCTGGAAACATATAGCAAGGTAACTTATACAATAAACTCTGTACTAGCAGCCTTCTTTTTTTTTTTTACGATAACATATTTTCAGTTGTATCAATACCAAGATTGTCAGGAAATATGAAAGGAAAAAAGTTAAAGATAAACAAGCTCAATGTTGAATATCTTGTTAATAAAAACCCCTTTTAAGTAACGGAAACTACTCAGATATCAAATTTGTAACAATTGATAAATACAATTATTGTTATGCCCTCCGGCTTTATTATCCTAATCAGAATATCCTGAGTTATGAGTGCTTATTTTAAGCACAGTTTGAGCACATACTTTATTCACTCTTTGATTAGTTCGAATCATTAAGTTGAAGATGTATAATTATGTTTAATTAATTAGCGTAAATAACTAATTATCGATTTTTTGTTTCCGTATTTAGGAACACTATCACGTGTTGTCAGTCAACCAATTAACACGTTCGTTGCCATGTGCCCCACCTGTGGCTTATGAGTTTGGGACACTGCGACTGCTCCTTGGTACCTATTGAATGTTTAATTTTATTTATACTTAATGTATTATGTGGCAGCGAACGTGTTAATAGAAATGTGTGTGCGATCAAAATACTATAACATTCATTTTACGAGTATAAGGCTAATATAGAAAGATTTGTTACAATCTATTATAAGTCTTATTGTGATATAACGCTTATTATAGGCCTTATTGTGATATAACTATTATTATAGGTCTTATTGTGATATAACGATTATTATAAGTCTTATTGTGATATAACGATTATTATAGGTCTTATTGTGATATAACGATTATTATAAGTCTTATTGC